TTTAGGGTTTAGGGGTTTAGGGGTTTAGGGGTTTAGGGTTTGAAAGGGTTTAGGGTTTAGGGGTTTAGGGGTTTAGGGGTTTAGGGTTTGGGGTTTATGGGTTTAGGGGTTTAGGGTTTGGGGTGAGTCGGAGGACTTAGTAAGTAGGTGATAACCTAAACAGAATCCTAGGAAGGGCTATGATACTTATGCGTCTATACAATAGCTACTTAATGAGTCCCCCGACCTTCCTAGTAGGGTGTGGGGTTTTGCGGTTCTATGAGGGACCCATAGATGTTCTACAAGGGTTCCATCAGGGTTCCAGAGGGTCCTTACTATTCCTAAACACCAACCTCCCGAAACCGAAACACGAAGAACCCAAACACCACTCCTTCGACATAGACAAACGAACCGTGTTCCCCGAATCCCAAGGCAAATCCAACAAGCGTTGAATCTAAACTCAACTTTTACCCTAAACCCTTAACCCTAAACCCTTAATCCTAAACCCAAGAACCCCTAAACCCTAAACCCTCAACCCCTAAACCCTAAACCCATGAACCCCAAAACCCTAAACCCTGCAAGCCCCAGAGAGTCTCGACCCCAACCTCCCCAAGCCTACGGTTTAGGGTTTAGGGTTCTGACTCTGCAGAGCTCGAATCCCAAGACACAAGACCAAAGCCGCCAAAGCCCCAAAACCTTAATTTAAACCCCCAAACCTCCAATCAAAAACATGAAGCCATCAGTCCTAAAACCCTGAACCTCTAAACCCTAAACCCTTTAAAAATGAACTCGTGAGCCCGACCAGGCTGTGGAAGCGGCTCTTCGGCAGTTCAATAGCGCCTCCACGCGAGGTCCAGGATGTTTCGGGTGTATCGGGTTTTTGGAGGGGTTCTGGAAACGGTTAAGGTCTCGGGTTTTTACAAGGGCTTTGGAAAGCATGTTTTGGAAGTTAGGGTCTGTCTTGGTGTCGCGGCTGGGAGTTTTGAGCCATTCAAGAGATCGAACGGCCGACGGCTCTTCCGCGTACGATAGTTGAAGGAGCGGCTTGGAATTTCCGGGCACGGACCCGGGCGAGGTTGGGAATACAGAGCTACCTGCGGATTCGGCACTAGAACTACTTGCTTTGGATTATTATAATGCCCTGTAAGCTAGGCTGTCATGTTTCCGAAGACACTGCCCTGATTACATGTATAGGTATTTTCACCGGAAGGTTTCAATTGGCCTCGACATTTGCAGCTGCATCTGCAGCCCAGCAATGCGAGGCAGTCAAGGGCTACTGCTGCGTGCAGTTCCTGGTCCCACGGCGTCGTGCTCTTCTCCGGTCAAGGGCATGGTGCCCTGGGCTGAAGGGATTGAAGCATTGAAGTCTATGCACTTTGCTGCTGAATTGCCGTAGCACCATCGTAGAAATCCTATCGCGGATGACACGAAAAGCAGGAAGTCCTGCCTAGAGTAGCCAGTCTTTTGGAATGCCGCGTAGACAAGGAGAGGGCACGGGACTTCTCCCGCAGACTGTCGGCTGCAAGCTCAATGCCTTCTTTCGGGAGCATCCAAACCTAGCAACGGTGGAGTCTAGGCTTACCGGAATCCCCCGATTCTGGCTCCATTTTCCCGGCAATGAGTTGTCTCTCAGCCTGCAGCTCCTAGGTATGCCACTGCTTTGGCCTACTTCGCCTCAGAGGTTTCTTATTTCGAGCTGTTTCCTTGGGGACGGCTGGTGACGTGGCAGGACACCCACGAAGCTGCAAATGTCATTTTAGGAAGGTGCCTTTGTAATGCGTCGCCGATGTTTCGATGTCACAATTCATCCCATTTGCTATTTACTGCCGGCTTTTTGTGTCCTCTCGGAGACAGTGTCGTTGCACACCCTCCCTACCATGCAAGAGAGCGAGGCCATGAGAAGACAAGCGGCCTAAACATACGAGTTTCCGTATGGGTGTTTCCGAAAATAGGGGACCCTAATCTTGTACCCTAAATAGTAGGATCCTTATTATAAGTACCCCAAATTAAGGTGCCCTTAATTTTCGGAAACTCCCGTATCTCAATCTTGCCATGAAGCTGTGCAACGTTTGCAAGACCAGGATCTAACCTGCAGGGCCCCTGCGCAGCTGTGGATGTCGAGACCTCGGGACAGAACAAGGGAGTCCAGTGCAGGGATATATCTATATATATATATATATTTCTTTTATTTATTTATTTATTTATTTATTGTTTATCTGTTTTTTGTTTAAAATGTATAATTAGATTTATACTTATATAGCTTAAGGCTTAAGGATGAAGGAGGCTTAAGGATGAAGGAGTTCACTCAATGGGGCTATCAGCACATGACGCAGATTTAGAGTATAGTTGAGCATGGCTTTTCTGTAGCTGGCATGGCCAGAATAGGCAATGGATCCAAAATTTAACCTCCCGAACTACTAGCTCATGCCAGGTTTTCTGTGAGCCGGGTGGTTTGAGAGCGCTTGTCAGCCAGTACCTACAGAATGAGAAACTCATGCTTCAATGTCAAGCCAGATCCACCCCCCCAAATCCAGATAGCAACGCAAGCAACCAGAGCGAGGGTGTAGGGTTGAACGGAACATAATTCCGGACACCTCAACTGGCCCAGATCAAGGCTTTGACGCATGGCCACTCACATCCTAGCAAATCTTTCTTATCATTGGTTCCAGCTTTTTAAAATGCAGAGAATTGCCGTTATGGCCAGCTGAAGTACACATCTCCGAACCCTAAACCCCAAACCCCACCTGTCCGGCGGAGCAGGCGATAGCATGTGGGCGAAGGTATGATTGTTGCCGCTGGTAGGGTTTTGGGTCTAGCCTCCGAAGTAATGACCTATACTATTTTATGGGGCTCCTTATTACAGATATAGTATAATGTACACCAAAACCCTATTCTAATCCTTAAGGCCCTTATATTCGGGTTTATGGAGAGCCTCTAAACTCCGTAGCACCCGCGGTCGGAGCCTCGTCCTGAAAGGCCCTGGTGGCACGTGGTCTTTGGTGAGGCCGCCAGCATCCAAAGCTCCAACTAAACAGGGTTTAGGGTGTAGGGTTTAGGCTTTAGGGGTTCGACTCTCTTTCGTATGTTGCGAAAGAACGTATGTTGCAAATCTCCAAGATGACGTCCGTAGTTTCCGAGCCCTAGATCACATAAGCCTTGTAGACCCCAAGGCTCTCAATGGTGAGCAGCTGCGTTTTGTACGTTTGTGGTTCAGCGTTCAGTGGAAGAGTTTAGTTTAGAGCTTCAGAAGAAGAGAAAAGTTGACCAAACTGAGGTGTTTGCTGGGATTGTTTTCCCGATAATGCCGTCACATGCCATCTGTTTTTGTATGTACATGTGCTTACACTGTATGCATGTTCTTGCGTGTGTGTGTGTATGTATATGCGTGTCACATAGCTAGGTATAAACATGTACGCGTTTATGTGTACATGTGTACTGTATATGTCAGTATACATATGTGAAGCAGAAATTTTGCATGCTGGGTTTCGTGTTTCGGGTCTGTATTCGCTCATGCAGAGGAGCAGAAACCGAGAACATTGGAAACCCCAAACCGGAGCCCCCACCACCAACCCCAAACGCCTGACACCCTTGTACAACCCGGATATGGCCTGAAGCCCTGCAGTATAGTTTCGTGAATCATGCTGATGCAGGAGCTCGCCTGCCCGGAGCGACATCAGGATCCCCGGCTGCCTCTCTTCGTGCAGCTGAGGCCGCTTCCGAAATGTTCGCAGTAGGCAGTGGCTGGGGATTCAGGTGTATTAGCTCTGGGGTCTAGTCTAGGAGTTCTCTGCTGATAAATTAACCCTAAACCCTCAACCGGTTGTTTTTGCTTCCAGTTGAGGGCCTAAGGCTCGGGATTTCATAGATTCATGACTCGGGGAACTGCTCGGCTTCCGTTATACAGATAAAGAGTTGAGCGACCCAAACCCATTAAACACAATTTTGGTAGCTTGTCACAACCACTGCACAGGTTGCAAAGCCGAAAAGGCCAAACCTCAAGCCCCAGGCCTTCAGAAAGCATATGTCTAAATACCTATCTAACTAACCTCAGAACTATAGAACTATATCATGACGGTGTGTAACTACATAACTAGACGACGTTATATAGTATGACATAAACTATATAACTACATAGCCTCAGCGTAGTTTAGGGCTCCGGATACAACCTAGTGCTGATGCACACGCACTCCAAACTCAGGACTTGCAACATCGGTTTGAGTCCACACCGGCCTCCGCTCGAGGGACCGAGGTAGTTCTGGAAGTTGGGAGCCCAAGTGCATGTAATAGAGGAGCTTGAGTGATTAGCAACAGTATTCCTCACCTCAAAGTTTCTACACACACTCGTAGTCATACTGTAATATGGCCCACTCCTTAGTCCAATCCTTGAGGCCCCTATATGAGATCTGCAGCAGGAGCATTCCACCCGATCGGATACATTGCTGCTGAACCTTCTTCGGCAGAGGCAGCGGTGTTTGCCGGAATGGTTAGATATGCCCATAGGCCCCATAGTAGTTCCTGTTGGGGATTGCCTCATAGGATTCTAAATAAGAATCCCGAAAAGGAACTACTATGGGGCCTATGGGTGGTTTAGGGTTTGGGCTTGCTTCAAAGCTTTAAAGTATTTGGCCTCCGGGTTTGGGGCTTTGGGTGTCGGCTTTGGGGTTGGGGCCCTTCTCCCGGCCTCCCAGTCAATGCCAGCACCTTTTGCTGGGCCGGTGACATCCAAGTCAGACAAGTCAGACAAGTCATGATGTGAGGCAAGTCACTTCACATTTAGATTCACTTAGGTTTAGTTTGGCTCAAGGTCAATTAATACTCGTGGCGTTTGTGAGACATCCCCCTCGAACATGCAGCTCCAGAGGGTTGGGTGCGCTGCCGCCACCTTATGGCTGATCATCTTGCCCTGCGCATGTGAGGATGCTCAGCATGGTGACATGGCAAGCCTCGAGGCACATCAGAGAAGGTTGTGGAGCGAACCCGAACCCGAACCCGACTTGATTTTTGCGGTTGTGATTCTTGCTCTGTTGTCCATCTGTATGTGCGTGGGAGAGCTGGTGGGAGCATTGATCTATAGCAAATGTCCGGGATGCAGACCTCAGCTGGAAGATGCAAGACGACGTTCTGGACGACCTGACTTTGAATATGGTCTTGTCGAAGGATTCTGTCAAAGCGGCTGCATCACATGTTGGGGATGCTGCTGCCCAAATACTCTTTGGTCTGCCATGGCAAGCTCCCCCAAAAGCAAGTTTTTGGGATTGACCTTTTGGCAGATGTTGACTCTGAGGCTTGGGCTTCTGATCGGCACGATCATTCTTCTTGGGGTTTTCCCCCCTTTGGCGGGCTTCTTGTTCCTGCCCTTATTTGTGATGAATGTGCTGCATCGCCAACATTTACGCCACAAGTTCGGCCTGGAGCATAGCACCTGCAGCAGTGTCTTCAAGGATGTGTACATGTGGTTGTGTTGCCAGCCGTGTGCCACCACCCAAGAATTCCTTCAGATTGGCTACACGGGCGATCCAACTCTCAACGATCCTTTGAATGATGACAGTGCACGCACCATCCCTCTTCAAATGCACATGGATTTAGATGCTTTAGATGTGTAGGTGCGGGAGTTGCTGGCAATTTCCAGGTGTCTGTTTTAGTTCATTGTTTGAAAAGGCCTGGCCAGGGAGAATTCCCGGAGTGGCCTGGCCCTGCCAATCGAGCAGAGACATGCAATCAAGAATTACCAACAAGAATGAAGCCTGGTGCTTCGAATTGTAAAGCAGTTGGTTTTGTAAAGACAATGTCAGCTCCAAGAGAGTGCTCAGAAAGGACTCAACCAAGGCCTGCAAAAGAGTTGCTGCTCAGAAAGGACAATAAACCCTAAACCCTAAACCCTAAAATGGTTTAGGGTTTAGGGTTTAGGGTCCCTAAAATGGCTTACAGCTTACAGTGGGGTCCACGGCTGCCAACCTCAACCTGGTAGTGCATTGACTTGGTCTCACAGGCGCCGATTGGCGAAGGAAATCGAGAAGATGGTGCGATGCACCGTTGCAGCTGTGATGCAAGGAGCTTACCCTGAAGTTCTGAAGCATAGTTTGCTTCGGTTACTAGGTTTAGGGTATCGGGTTTAGGGTTAGGGTTAGTTACACTTGCCTGATGCCCTGGGCCAGCTTCCATGGAGGCCTGCCTCTCTGGAGCTGCGGGGCTCACGACTCTGGATCTCGGAGCAGGGCAGGCGACTCTGGCAGACCTCATCTTAGCAGGGTGGTGTAATATAGGGACCTACTGTAGTTAAATGATTACTAACACTATTTTGGGGGCTTCTTTATTATAAGTATAGTAGAATATGGCCCAAATTCTAATTATTGAGGCCCGTAGCCATGCCTTTAATTGTGGTGTTGCTTTCAAGTTTGGCGACTTCTTGCAGGTCTAGTGATCTGTGTTTCCAGGTACTTCTGGAAGACGAACCTAGTGCATGCGCCGGCCTCTTGTCTGACTGTGGCCTCTGGCCTGTGCTCTCACTTGACTTCGCGCGGAAAGTTTTGCACGTTGTTGCCAGGACAATTGCCCGCACGGGAACCTCTACGTTCGGGCTTCGTGCTCTTACCACGGATGGCCTCTTTGGATACGCAGGTGCTTCGAGTGCACACGAGAATGTTTCCGAGAGCCGCACTAGTTTGGCGGAGAGAGAGAGAGAGAGAGAGAGTGTGTGTGTGTGTGTGTGTGAGTGTGTGTGTGTGTGCGCAAATGCGTGCACACAAGCTTGCGATCAATTCCGCACTCATCCTGCACCTCACACCCCATGTGGTTCCAACTCTCCCTCTCTCTCTTGATTGAAAGGGTGGGATAGCCGCGAGATTGGATTTTGTACGTACCGTGACTCCAGGGGCATCCCCATGATTGTGACATTAAGCAACCATCAGCAGGACCCCCATCAACACAAGAGCTTTGTATCTACAACGTGACGAATACAAGAAGGAGTAGCACCAGACAGGCTCTGCCATCTCAGCGATAGTGGCCCTTGGTGCTGGCGAGCTGACACCGTGGGTTGCAGTGACAAACGGCCAGTTTGTGCTCTTCGGCATCAACACGTCCAAACACAGTGTGATCAAGCATTTCAGATATCTAATCTAAAGTTACCATGCCATAACATGAAGCTCTACACCCTAAATCCGTTTCGTGACAGGTGGATGCACGATGATGCCCGTTTGAGGCGTCGGGCTCGACCACGGGGTGCTCGAACACGTACAGTAGGGGCAGAAGCGCATGAGATGGACTCGGTATTTGTCAGGGATCAAGACGGGGGCTCCATGACGGTTCTATGAAGGAGAACATGATCATAATGATGATGCTGATTGTGGTAATGTCTGGTAATGCTTGTGATGATGATGGTTACTCAGACGAAGAGTCACTGCAGGCTACCTTGAATCCCGAAGGGCGCAGGGCCACCATTTCCCTGTCTTTCCTTCCCTTTTCTCAGGACTTCAGTCTCGGGAACTGGTTGTTTCCAGTGTTTCGGGAGAGCCTGCCACCGCGTGGTCTGCCGCCGTGACTCAAATCCAGGCGAAGCTTCAGGGCAAAATTGGTTCGTTTCCGTTCGAGGTCCTACAGCCTTTGCCATCTATGTGGGGGTTTCCGAAAATA